AGGCGACGGGCTATCCAGAACTCTCAATAGTATAGGGAAAAAGTGAAAAATGAAAAAAAAATTTTTCACCTGGGGCTCAAGGGTCAGAATTTTGATTTTTTCAGGGGAAAAGTCGACTTTCGCCAAAATCGAATTTTTTGACCGAGTGAAAGTCGATTCCGATAATTCGGCGACGGGCTATCCAGAACTCTCAATAGTATAGGGAACAAGTAAAAAATGAAAAAAATTTTTTTTCACCTCGGGCCCAAGGGTCAGAACTTGGATTTTTTCAGGGGGAAAGTCGACTTTCGCCAAAATCGAATTTTTTCGCCGAGTGAACGTTGATTCCGAATCTTTTAACGATTCTGATGCTAATGAAACACTCGGAGGCTGCAGAAATGCACTCCTCCCATTCCGCTTCACACCGTGACTGCGCGCTCTTTTTCGGTTATATTCCCTATTGAAGTTTTTTGTTTCTTCTGCAACTCTGCGTGTCCAAGCAACTAGTGGATAAGAGTGAGTAGCTTGCGGGCAATTTTCGGCCGCGTTACGCCAGATTATTGAGCGTGTCCGTGAACCGACGTTCGGGAATAATGAGGCACAATTCGTTGCGCTGACAGGATGCTCCGTCGATTTTCTCCACAAGTTCTCGTCGGGGCCAGTTAATGCACAATCCCCCCTCCCCCTCACCCGTGATTCTTTCACACTCATCTAATGTGCCTTGAAATCTTCATCAGTCGGCTCTCAACGAGCTTGTAACATATAATTTCATTATTTGAGGGCCACATTACTGGAATTAACGATAAAATGAAAATATGGGATTGTGAACTCTCGGTGGGGTTATCCACGCTGGCTACCACCGAGCCAAGTTATTGAACGGATCCGAGGGGCCGAAAAAAAAATGAATGAAAAAAAAAAAGCAGTGGAGAAGGGTCAACTGAGATAAGACGGGCGAACGAGCTGTCAGCGATAAGCAATTTGTAGCAAAAAATAATGAAAAAAATGAGACAAACAGATACAGTGGAAATTATGGGACTGATTACTTTAGTAGATGAAACGGTTGTGAGTAATTTGGCGTTTGATATTGAGCCACTAATCTTGGGTAATTCACATGAATGCCCTCTTGCGACATGATAAGCCCATTATCACATTTACAAACGAGCCTCAAACTCAATTTCTAATCTCCGTATATTTTACCCCCTCTGACGTTTCCCGGATTCCGCTTGCGATTCGCATTTGCGTAATCTCGAATCACGGCTCGAATGTACGAAAGGGAACTCCTTAGCATCGTGTTGCACCATTGTTGGGGCTGTGTACATATTTGAATTGGCTTGGGAGAATAGAACATGCGGCATTTGACTGGTTACTCTTGATTTTGTGAAATTTACGGAGGTTTTAACGAATATTAATTGTCACGCCGAAAGTAATTATCATGAACCAGAAAGTGAGGAATAATTAGAGCAGACATTGACAATTAATAGTCTCCGGAGACTTATTAATGACTGTAATCTTTATGCCCAAGTCGTTCGCATTTGCGTAATTGCTCGTCTGCGAGGCGACGAATGTGTCGATTCAATCGGTCATGAGATTAAAAAAAAGCGTTGAAGAAAAGGACATCTTTCGCAAGTTACTGAGAAAAATTGATGCATGCAGCTTCGCTTTAGAGGGATAATGACCTCGAGAGACGATAACAAATGAGTTCCTGGTGGAGACTATATTATTGAAGATGAGCTCGTAACAATATTGAGGAGTCATGACAAATTGGACCACCCTGGGTCTCTACCCCCTCTGGTGCAAAGCTAAATAATAATGAAAAAAAGGAGATGCATGTGGATAAAAATGAACATCTAGGGTTTGAGAGATAAAAGTCTCGAGCTGTTGCTACTACTCTCACCAGACAGATCGTATGGAGATAATGATGATGGCGAAGCGAGACATGGGTTAAAGAACTCTCGGCTGGGTCGGCTTGCTTTTGAATTTTTCTATCTCAATGATCTGGGCTCGATGGGATCGATATTATTAGGCTCCCGATGATTGGCAAGAAATTTCTTTGCGAGAGTAATAATGAGCTGCCACGATGTTTGTACGGTTTATGGGCCAGTTTGGGAACAAGTGTATTTGGGAGGAAAGGTAATAAAGAATAATGACTCATTAAGGCGGACGGTTGAGGAAGAATTGGAAGTTTATTGAGTGAGATGGAAGTTTGAAATGCCCACGAGAGTCTAATCATTCCAACAAATGAATGAATGTGGGTGGTCCCACAGTCGTACCCCAGCATTACTGCTTAATACTGTTTGTTGGCATTAATGTAGGATTAATTGGAGAGGAGTTTAACGATTTACTGGTGCCATCTGTTGTCTTGTCAATGAACATTTCACGGGAATTTTGTTTCCATTCGTTTCAGGGGCTGGTGAGTTTTCGACGGTCGGCACAGTCAGCAGCGGAGGCGTCCGGATTTTACCGGCTCCTGTCGATCTACTGGGAATCCATCGGCAAGTCAGATATCCCAAGGGTTTCATTATCTCTGCATGACATGTAGAATTTTATGATGCATGACCAACAATTTAAGACCGAATCTGACTGCATTCTCCTTCGCTGGCCGTTATACTCACGGAATGGAAATTGCGGCAATTTTTGTTTTCGCTCGGGTTTTTTTTATAGATTCACGTGGAAAATAGGATTTTCAGCATCGTCGATTGCGGTAATCACGACAGACGAATATTACCCGTGCGTTAATGAATCACATTTTTTAAGTAATGTATAGTTGCGACGTAATTTCGGATTCAAAAAATCCTGGCGGCATTCCACAGTACTGCATGTCCCCCCATTGTCACGATTTCCTGAAATTGGCCAGACGTTTCTGGGAAATGTAACTGGCCACTCTGGCCCGCGGCAGGGGGATGCGCGTCTAGACACCCAGATCCATGCAATTGTGTGGATCTTCTATCCGAGACACCGGCGCGACATTCTGAAGTGTTGCGATGTACACCGCAGGAAACTTATAATTGCCTTTTTAAGTGGCTGTCGTCAATAAAATTAGGGAAAAAAGAGACGTCAGCGCGCTTCACGCGAGAAAAGAACGGAAAACGCCAACAACAATTTCCCCATCAAACGGACGTGATGGTACATGTAATAGAGTCATTTCCTCCGGTCGCAAAAATTTTGTTCCGCCGAGAATGTGAGGCAGCACCGCAACCTTTCGAATTAGTTAACGCCCGATTATTTGTCACGTGGAGACGAGGGTCACAAAAAAGAAAGAGAAAAAGACCAGAAGTGTCGGAATTTCGCCACGGGCGGCATCTGACCCCCCATGAGGGCACGCAACTCGCACCACAAACCAGACGTAATGGGGATTTCCTATAAAGACGCGTGTAAAGACGAGAGGAAAAGCACAGTTTCGGAGAGAGATGCCAGTACAAAGGGCCCTTTGTGCCTCAACTGGAGGCGCCATGCAACTGGACACCACATTGCGCTCTCCTCTCCTCCCCACTCGCCGCTATTTTTTTAATTCTCGATTTAAACGTGACGCAATTGCGCCGAGCCGTGTGATCCCCCCGGTATTGACAAATTATCCGGCAATTTATTTCTCTTTAGTTACGCTGAAACTAGGGAAAATTAAATGGAATTCGGTTTAAGCACTGCAGTAGTACTCGTGTTTTGTACAATTTGTTTGGAGTCTGCCAGGCGTCTCAGTGTCAAGTGGATCGCGTCTCTATTTTTTTTTCGATCGCCGAATGTGTTCGGATACTACCGCCAAAAAATTTCTCCTCCAGCGATGACAATTCGGTCAGACAGTGTCGTGTCTTTCCCACAGTTAAAAAGGCGCCCGATATCTCCTGGCGCCGTGCACTGGCTCTGCATCCTCGGGCCTGTTGATGCAAGAAGAGAAAAAATACAGGGTATGGTGCGACCACACACAAGTAAGTGATATATTTATTCAATACATATTTACTCTGGTCATCCACCCGAGGGATTGATCAGAGTGGGCATTAATCATTGCGCCGTTTATTCAATTTCGAGGACACTCGGGGGAGAACAACATCAATCGTATAAAATTTGAATAAAATTCTTAATGAAATAATTTGAAAACCTTAAAACCTTCGCACGAAGTCTCAAGAGTTTCGGGCGCCCGAATGCGCGTCTGGATTATGTTATATAGCCGAGTGAAAATAAGAAGGAATTGAGACGCCCGAGGCGGGGATTGTGAGAAAATTAATTACTTTCTTTTCATTCTGTGGAGCTGAATTTTTTAGGGATTTTCTGACATCATCCAGTCCATCTGCACGATTCGTCATCGTTATTCTAGAATTTTTACGCCAACAGGTACTGTCGGCATTGAATACTATTATATATTCATCTTTCGATTTAGAGCTGAAATCAAATATGCGAAAATTCACTTGCGGCACACATTTATAAATACCTCCATGCATCATGTCCATTCATTTTCCAACATGAAGCGTAAATCAAATTTTATCAAGGGATATTCGTTGCCCTGGGAACCGCAGATCCGCGGGATTGGCGGAGATGGAGAGCAAAGGCGGTACCACACACGTCTCCGCCCAGCGGAATTGCAAAGTATGGCTGGCGAATAAAAAATACTTCGCGCACGCATAATTAAAAATTTTTAATGATCATTAACTACGTGTTTTTGACGTTGTATGCTTGGAAGTTCTTTCGGAGGGACTCGAAATCTCGGGGGTGGGGGTTGTTGTATCTGTTAAAAATCGGGCTCACACAGACAACAGCGCACTTACACACTTTTACTGACGGTACTCACCATCCACACTTGACTCCAATGCCAGACCAAGTCACATTTGACGTTTGCCCTCTGGCCTGACCACTCAACCATAAACCACCCTCGAGCCATCACCGTGTTTATACTTTCTCCGGTCCTCCCCGTGAACGTTAACTCAGTTGAACAGTGATCACAGTGAGCAATAAAGAGAGTGCGAATTAAACTGGTTTTTGTGCTTGCAAATTGCCGAAGAAACAATTTATAATCGATCAGCAATGTTTTGATAATGTTGCCCTCATCGATATCGTTCAGTGTTCGTGATATTTTAAACGAGAGTCAAACCGTTGATACCATGGATTGTTACGGGGGTCACCAGCAGGTGCCGCAGACTTTTCACGTGTCCCACGATTATTACGGCTATAACGGGGTGCAGGATAATCACTGGGATGTTGAGAAGTATAAGGAGCAGTCCCAGATCAGCCAGATGGGGTATCAGAATTACCCGGATCTGCATCAGGTTCATCATGGGGCTCATCCCTCACCCCCGTTCGAGGCAAATTCCGTCATGGAAGAAGGTAATTTAATTTTTATTCACAAGTGCAATTGAAATAAATCATTTTAACCGCCAATTCCTCGATCGTAATTTTTTCTTATTCATCGTAGGAAATGTCGTTACGTCGAGTAAAACAGAGCTGAGGAAGAATCAATCGGGGAAGAGAACGAAACGAAAACCGCGAGTGCTATTTTCTCAGGTGAGGATTACAAGAAATTAGTTTTATAGGGGAGGGTGGGGCAAAACGGCCCCCCTTCAATTGTCAATAACTTGTGAATGACATTGTGAAAATTCCCAGTTTCAACTTCATTTTGAAGATAATTTTTCATTCTTCAAAACGAGCTCTAACTCATCCCAATCGGATTATTGAATCGGAAAATATTGACGATTGAAGGGGG